GAGTACAAAACACTGGGGAGACTACATTTTTTCTTACTGGTAGTTGGAAACTGAAGTTACATAAGCAGAAAAAATGTTGACCCTTAATGATACACCTATTTTTTTCTTTGATGCAAACAGCTAGAACACCTTTTTGATATTCTAAAACAAAAAAAAAAATTGTTAATCTTCAGATTAATAAATTAGGTCATTATAATAATAAATTAGTTTTTTTTTTTTTTCAGATTTAAAGTTCAGCAACCTCTGACCAAGTATTTACAACAATACTTGAGAGTTCCTTTACAAAAAATACATTTTCTTTTCACATTAAGCATACTGGGTATCTGTGTCTCTTATGACAAGCATTTGTAAAAGAAAAAAGGCAATGCACAAATGGGTAATTAGTATAAAAGTGCCAAGACCTGTTTGGAAAGTTAACGTTGTATTATACAGTCAGAGTTACAAATGAGGCAAGCTACAACAAACTTCCAGCTTAATGTGGACAATATTCCAGTAGTTGTTTCAAACAATTGTTTGAAAAAAAAAAAAAAAAAAAAAAGAAAGAAAAAAAAAAAAAAACCAGAAAATCCAGGAGCTGATGGTGTTATTCTGTGGAGCTGATTAGTGCTGCATGTATATTGTCATCAGTGTCTCTAGCCAATGCATTCATTAAAAAGCCTTTTTAAGGCTAAGCAGGAAAAATAAGAAACACCCTGAAATGTAGCAAGTAGCAAGAGCAACGCTTACTGCTATAATCGTGCACATACTGTACACAGGCAAACACAAGAGTGCACACACACACACACGCAGGCACACGCACACACACACACACAAACACTTTCAAATCAAATCAAATCAAATCAAACTGTAGGTAGAATGAGATGCTCTTTTCTTGTCTTTCCTAAACTCACAAGCGATTAAGCATTGATATGGAATGCCTGTTTATCTGTTTCTGTTCTGGGTAAAATCTCTCTCAGATAAAAATACATTCAACAAGAAAAAAAATAGAAAAAAATATATACTGTATACATAGTATTCTATATATACAGTATATATACATAGAGTGTATATACACATGCACGTATATATACACATGTATACCTACATGCATTTGTATATACATATATATACACAAACATACAAATACTTTTTGTTGTTTTTAGCATAATAATATTTACATAAATATTCCTATAATGCTAAGGTTTAAAGAAGCATGATCTCCTTTTTTTTCTGAGCTTCAAAAAAGGTGCTTGAGTAATATACAATTAAAATTAAGCAGCTTCCTAGCATGGAAGTAGTTTCTAAATCTGCATACCAGTAAATAAGAACATCAACAGGAAAAAAAAAAAAACAACAACCTTAAAACAGTCTCTTTTTTACTCTCTTGTAAGCAAGAGCTTTGTCCAACAAAAATATTTTTCCTTCTCCTGTATGAACAACCAGAGATTGATATAAAATAACAAAATGAAACCACAACAGACAAAACAAACAGACAAAAGCCCCTGGAACTGCATGGTGTTCTTGACTTTTCCTTCCTTCCTTCCTTCAATATTGCTGTCAAAAGATCCAGTGCTCATATCAGGAATTACTTAGGCCTCAGTCATTTGCTAACTCTGCCGAAGTCTGGCTAATCTAGCCAATCAGCTTTGAAGAAAACAAAAATAAAACCAAAAAGCAGCACAAGGTATAATTTTATACATCCTTAATAAACCCACCCTTTATTTTCTGCTATAACCTTTTCCTTGCTATTTCATTAACTACTGCAGCTTCTCATCATATAGAAAAATATTTGCAGCTACACCACACCTGTGATGTGACAAATTCTGTTCTAGGAGTATATTACTGGAGCAACAGCTGGGAAAAAAAAAAAAAATAATCAGACCTTTTCATATTTTTTTTCACCTGGGGTTAGGCTTTGCTGCAACAGATGCAATTTCAGAGCAACAGGAAAAAACACTATCCTGCTGCTCAGCAGTATTCTTTATTCCATTTTCTTCTCCAGCCAAGCATGACCAGCTTTTCTTCTCTGAAGCTTCCTTTTATCTCATTGCCTACCCCTAGCCCCTGATTACCCCTCCCAAAAAACCTCTATAGCTATGTTACAAGCAAATACATCTTAACAAGTTTTAAAACTTTGGTTCTAAGAAAACACTTGGTCAGTTATCTCAAGGAAAAGTGGGAATGCTTTTTCTGGCACATTGCAGGAGTCAGAGCTCGTCCCAGTAAGGTCTTAGAGCTGTACATGTAGTCACAAATCCAATACAATCCACTAAGCAAGTGCACAATTCTAGTTTTATTTTAATAGCAGACTTAGTCTCTCTCTCTCTTTCTCTTTCTTAAATCCTTGGTAAGGGTGCAAGTCTTCAAACCGTTTGATAGAAATTATCTGCCTGTAGGTTGTTCTGTTTCTGCATGCTGTAAAATCCACTGTATCTTGAATCTGGGTCTGCAATTCTTAGCATCCTCTGAGAACTGTCCACCTGGACCATGGTACCTTTCTTGCAGTCCACATATACCAGTTGGTTGTTTAGGCAGGAAGGCTGTTAAAACAGAAAGGGAATATTGAGTAAATGATAATAAAAAAAACGTATCACGCACATAATTCAAAAAGCCTTTGTGGTTCAAGTTCATAAACACAAAACAAAATCAAATAGGTAATGAAAATAGTCTGGACTTCTGCTAAACTTGATAAAGGAAAAAAAAAAACAGACCAACACTCTTCTGAATCACCATTTTTCATCCTCTGAATGGAGCTCTGGTATTCACATATCCCAGATGGACTGGTTAAACTGTTTTCTGCTAGTCTAGCACCACACAAGGGATTAACCTTGTTGCTCTGGATGCACAGCAGCTTGCTTCCAAGAATTTAACAGCCTCTCACTGCAATTTTGCTATGAGAATGGGAGACATCTCAGCTGTTACAGTTAATCCCAGCATGGGGTATCCTATGGGATCCTTCTGTATTCTCTTCTGAGGTGGTTTATGGTTTAGTGGTGGACTTGGCAGTTCTGGGTTAACAGTGTTAAGGTTAAAGTCTTTTCCAACCTAAATGATTCTGATTCTATGTATTGCTACCTTAATTAGGAAACCATCCACCTTTTATCTAGTGTTTCCTAGGCCTTGCACCCTCATGAAGCAGCGTGTTATTGTGGCAATACCAGTGCTGATGTGGTACTTTATTTGCTTAGAAGAATAGGAATTTTAATTTTAGGGAAATGTCAGTAAATGAGGGTTTGAGTATGTAATAATTTACAAGGGTGAAAACACATGAATTGTTGACCTATGTGTATTGGGTTTCCAGTCCTGGTATTCCTCTGTTTGAGAAGCCTCCAACTGAAAGGTTCTGCAGCTGAAAGGAAGGTGAAATAATGCTGGGTGCACACTACTTTAAATGCCTATGGGCTGAGCATGCAGGACAGGCAGTGAGCATACTCCATAACACATACAGAGTTAGCGACAAGCATACAAGTGAACTGCAAATCTTCCACATTCAAGTTTCTACTGATGTGGCTTTTTTTCCCAAGACTGAAATCAGCAAATCAGAAGGGGTTTTATTACTAAAAATTTACATTCAATAATCTGTATCACAAGAAGTTTTTTTTTTTTTAACCCGGACATTTGTTACAAAACATTATTTTAAAATGTTTATGAACATTTGGCTGTTCAAAAGTCTGTGGACTGAATTCACAAAGAAATCCTAAGGTTCACTGATGTCAGTGGAATCAGGGCTAAACGTTAGCAGTCCATCTGTAATTTTAAACATCTTTTCTATCATCTTTCTTTTGGCACAATTATTTAAGCACAGTTGTTGATTTGTTCTTTAATAGCTGTATCATTTTGAACAGAACATAAGCTAAAACAGGCTTGCCAAAATTTATTACTAGGCACCACAGTCACCCAGCAAGGAACAGGAAAAACTAATGAGTGGCACTTGTTTGAAGAAACCTTAAAAGAAAGATACATTTAGCACAAAGGCTCTCAGAAGAAATCTGAGTTTCAGAACATCCATGGTCTTGCACTGAATCTGTATGTGGCTTAAAAGTGAGCTTTCTTAGCATATGGATGATGCCTTTCAGTGACACTGCAAAAATGGTTTTTCAGCAGCAGAAGTGTTTGAAGAAAACAATTTTCCACAAGTAAAATGTATGTAGAATTGATTATAGTTCCACAGCTATAAAGTTGTGGTTTTCATTTCAGCTTCAACCATTTTGTCACACAGCACTTGGATGGAGAGCAGCCTTTTTGCAAGTTTAGGAGTGAATCCATTAGAGTTAAAAATGAATTTTTAAAGATTTTCATGTATTAGGAAATTCAGAAACTGGTACTCCTTACTTGTTTTGAAAGATATGAGATGGAATAATACCGATTCCTCATGCTCCCTATTGATTACAGTTGAATTCAACTTTATGCTCTGATTGTATTTGTAAACTTTTCTGAAATTACTTTTTTTTTTTTTAAAAAAAAAGCTCTGCAGCAGTGACAGAATATGGACACTTCATTTTTAAAATTATTGTATTACTCTTGTAGATGGAACTGAAGAAAAGACACTTTCAAATGGCATTCCAAGTAGGGGCAAAATTTGTTTGATTAGAATTAGGACATGGGATAAATTGAGGAACTGATATAAATGGCATTTGAATGTGGAGGGAGGGCTTAATCTGCTGATGGAACTATTACTCAAAACAAAACCATGCTCTTTTCACTGTTGATTTCCAAGCTACCTGCTTCTTCTCTTTTTCGGTAGTCTCAAAATACTAAATTGGTAGATATTTCCTGGGATGTCTTTTGAAATATTGATCCCAGAACCATATGATGAATTTATTAGAAAATGTGATAAACAGTACTAGTACATACAGGCCGTGGTGTTGGACAAGACTTTTAAAGTGGATGGAAGTTAAGAAAGCAAAAATATTCTCTTAAGAGGTTGACTGCTGATAAGAAAATTGCATGTGTTTACCTACACATATACAGAGTTGGATTACTGAAATTTTTTTTCCTGACCTTGATTTCTATTTAGTAACAACTGATTACATTATGGAGCAGGAAATACATTTGAGAGTGAAAAAGATCATTTAGGAGACTAAATAAATACCAAACAGACTGACTGGTATAAAACCATTTAAGACACAAGAAAAAAATATTTTAAGAGAGTTCCCATGATGTGAACTCAATTGCATCCTACACAATATTCTAGTTAATCTTGCTTTCCAGAAAAGTGAAAGCCTGGAAATAGACATCAGCATGGCACCTTTGTTGGAGCTTTGTAGCAGGACACTGGAATCCACTGCTTCTTCTGATTGACAAGCAGAAGGACGATGATCAGTAACAGCGCTACTGTGATTGGAATTGTCACCAAGGCAACAGAGCTAACTGATGCATCTTCACTTGGGTGTGGTCCACTGCCACTTCTGTACCCTCCCTGCAGATGATTCATGTCTGCAAGGCAAACGTGAACACTTGTTAGCAATTATAAATGGGCCCTGACCGTAAAGAAGGACGTAATTATAAAAGTCCCAGCTGTGCATCTTGTCACTCAGGTGAATTGGACTTTCTCTCCTGAAATGTCACTTTATTTATGCAAATTAGAACAACCGAAAGCTAGCATCTGGTATAGTGACTATAATATCCAGGAAAAAGTCTATCAAAAAGAGAAGAAATAGGATGGAATCTAAAGTACAATAACAAGTCTGACAATAATCTCTTAGATAGCTGCATTCATATCATCTGATCTGATCACAACCAAATTCCCATTTGTATAAGAATCAGCCTGTGTATGTATGCTGAGGAAAACCTGGAAATCTTAGGATATAAGTCCTTTAATTTTTTTTTTTTTTTCTTTTAAAAACTGGTATGACAATTATGATGTGTTTGCTGTCTCATTTGTTCAGAACATATTACAACACTTGCACTACTCAGCCTATGAAAACAGACTGCTGGCAGTCTACTAGACTGTACCAAGTTTTGCATGGAATTGCAAAGAATGGAAACTTTCAATGACATATACAACATTCCCACACGGATTGCAGTGTGTTTATAATCCCCAGCCAGGATAGCTGCAAGCCATCTACTAATGCCTGTGAGAAATTAAGATGCTGTCATTATAAAAGTGTGAGCTTACAATTTTGTAAAGCAATTACGTTTCCTGTATTCTTTCTCCAAACAATAAGATGCTAAGAGATCATCCTTAGATTTAGGAAAAAAAATATTTAAAAAAAAATAAATATACACACAAGTTTAGGTAGTCCTTCAGTTGGAAAAGGTTAACAAAGACTGTGTTGTAGAGTGTTTCCCCTTCCCTCGGATAATGATTTCAGCAGAGTTGTAAACAAAAGATACATCCTTAGGCAATTTTATTAGCTTTCTGTCATTATAGCTGAAATGTTTTCTTTTAACTCTGATGTTTGCCTATGATATATATTAAGTTGTGGTAAATGTTTTCTCATTTTTTGTTTTATTGCTGTAAGAATGTCAAATGGATCAAACGAAGGCCTATCAACTCCAGTGGCCTGACAACAGCCTGCTTTCTAGTTTTTGTATCGGAACAGGCACTGCAGAAGCACTTCTCATTCATCATTTTATTGCATTCTTAATTTTATAGAACTCATTCGTACCAGCACAGATGCTCTTCCAAGCTGAAGATGGGATGATAATGAGAGCAAATTGCATAAATAGAATTTAACAGACTGACTCATCTTTACACAAAGCAGAATGCATGTAACAGTTCTTCACTGAAGAATATTCTCAGGTAACCACCTTTTCAAAGCATTATACAGATGCTACCTGAATAGAACAAATAGATGCATGAAAACATGGGGAATAGACACAGGCCTAAGTTAGCCCAGTTTATATCAGACCTTACCTCTGTGAATGTGGATGATGTCATTTTCACTTGGTGTTGGCCAGTTTGGTACTTCTAGTTCAATGTTTCCTCGATGATTTGTCTTCTCAATGGGGATATTAGTAGGTTCAGGTACATACATCTCTGGGAAACGAGATAAATGTATTTCACAAATTACAGGCAGCTTAACTTCCCAGTGCTGCTCTTAATTCAGGAAATACCTCTGGGCATCTGCAGTGCTTTGTCCTACGAATCCTTTCCTTTGTTTCAGAAGTTTAATCACTACTAGTCTAGGATTTTGTCTTAAAACCTGTTTCATATTGTATAGGGGTTACATGCCTGCTGCCATTATCACTATCTGAATGTGAATAGGATGAGATAGTCATGTGGACAAATTTGCTTTTGAAAATAACATTTTAGAATACACACTACACTACAGTCGGGTTCCTTTGTGATACTAAACATCGGAAGTACCAAGGGAAGGCTACATCCCAGGTGATAAGTAAACTGTCACTGCTTGTTTATTTGCCCTCCTCTCTTTTGTAACCCTCAAAGCAGGAGAACTGCAAGAGGGGCTACTGCTGAATCTCCCCAGTTGTCCTGTTGGAAGTAGTTACCAGCTGACTGAATAAGATGAGGAAACTCCTGCATAAGTATGTAAGTACTAGCATTAAAAATCAGCTGCAATTCTTATGTCCCTTGTGCCCACAACTAAGAAAATTTAATATTATTTCTAAGCCAAGTTAAAATGATTAACAAAGCAGTGCAGTATTTGAAAAGTATAACCAAGAGACTCGGAAGAGACAGAAATGTTAATCACTGAAAGAATCTGCAGAGATCTAAGAATATTCATTTTCCCACTTCACTAATGTATTTCTGTAACCTTGTGAAAGGACAGAGTTGGAGAAGCAACTAATTTTGGAGATCACAGTTCTCAGAATAAGTAAAATTCAAACTATATCTGCCCAATATGCCTGGTAAGTATATTCATTTTCCTGAAGGCTAAACGTCTGTTCTCTTTTTGATACCGTTCAAACATGGACTGATGTTCAAAAACCGGTTATAAGTCCCTTACTACCAGTCTTGGAAAACCAGCATTCCAATAAATCTGGGTGGTCACCTCCCACTACCTGGACACATGGGACAGCAGCTGCCCTCCACGTTGATGGGCTCAGCACAGGGGAGCGGCGGGCAGCTGACGGTGGAGCAGAGCGTCTGCCCCTGCAGGCAGTAGCAGTGTGTGCAGCTGTCAATGTCCCAGCGCTCCTCGTCTGCGTACGTCTTCCCACTGAAGTGGCAGACCACTTTCTTTGGCACTGTATCTTCTGTTGAGGGAAAACAGAGTGGCATGACCTCACAGTAATGGCCAATTACACACAAGCCTGATTTATTCCCCAAACACAAAAGCGAAACAATAGCTACAAAGAAATTCCACCTGTAATTAAAAGACCTTCTCTACGTCTCCCACAAAATCTTTATTTAAAAAGTGTCACTTCTGCTTCTTTATGAAGTACAGAATTAGCGTGGGCTGCTTCAAGACACTAGAGGACAGATGATGGGGACATGAAATCATAACAAAAGTGCTGTGAAAGTTAAGAAAAATTGATTGGTTTATGTTTGACTGCTTGAGACTGCCAATGATTCCCCTTCCCCCTCCTTGTTTACTTGTAAATTCTATTTAATGAAGAAAAAACCCAAACCACCTACATTTCTAAATACCGAGGTTCAAGAAAGATGAACTCAGTCTGGAAAACTTGAAGAAAAGATTAGGCAGGATGCCAAAAAGGATGAAAGCAATTCTCAGGTGCCATAACCAGAAGTGCTTAGACTATTATGATAAAACATATTCAACGGGGATCTGATCATTCCCTGTAACTGCATCAGTGGAAAACCCCAGGAAAAGGGCAATTACCAAACTCAGTACATTTTTTTCATGGTTAGTACTATATGAATTGGAAATTGGTGTGATCTTAACCCTCAGAGGAGTCAGGCTCCAGAACACCTTTCCCAAAGATTGAGAGCTGTAAACCTAACAACTTTTCAAATAGATTTTGACACAGTACATAACAGGGACCTGGACTTGACGAAGCAAGTAGGTCTTGGGAAAACACTTAAAAGAAGCACTACACTTTCTGCCAAAGCATTAACTAGACTTTTTTTTTTTTTTTCTAATGCTGCATCCTATGCAAGCCTACTAGGTGGTCTGCAGTATGCCTTCCATTTCACTGAGAAGACAATCATGAATTACTTTGGCTAGCATGTTTTCTGCTGCTTCAGGACTTTATAGATAATCAAACTACACAGCAGAACCTCCAAAAGCCAAGCAGCACCTCATTTGCATCTTAGCTTCTTGCTACCTTTTTTTTCTTAGAGGCAGAAATTATGATGAAACCTGCTGATGACATGAATTTGCAGATTAAGCACATGCATGAGTTAACAAAATGAAATCGCAAACTTCTTAAGCTGCCAGAGAAATACTGGTTTAACATTCGCATAGATTACATATGTAAATATTTCAGAATTACCTCCCAAATACAAATAAAAAAGCCTTATTAAATAATTTGGCCATCAATACAGCTTTTAATTAGTGACAATATAATAGACTGACATCATCCAGAATAACAAGGTTAGCAGTCCACAGAGCAGTGCAATAGATCTGGACAGAGTAAATTCAAACGTAAAAGAAGACCAGCAAGAAGTACTAATGGCATTATCTGAGAAGTGCAACTGCTACAGAGGCCCTTGAAATGGGTATCCCATGGCTTCCATGGCTGTACATATGGGTTCCAAACTCTACAAGTACAAGATTTTGTAAGTGAATATGGGGTGAACATGGAAAAGAAAGAGTGGGAGGCAAAGGTGACTGCAAGCTGCAGAAAGCATGGTAGCTTCTTCCATAGGTGACAGGCATGTTGGCGTACAGAGCCAGTGGAGCCCTGTGTTGGTCAGAAACTAGATATGGCTGGGGAGAGGGTGAGGCACACGGCCTGAGCAGTGCTCTACTGCTCATTACCTATGCAGACCTAAAGCTGAGCACTCCCTGTGCACTCAGGACTGGTTTGTTCCCATAGCACTACCTTGCCTCACCTAGGACAGGTTCTTCAACTCAGCAGCTGGATTTCTGGAAAAGACGTGTAACTTGAGCTGACTTTTCCAAGTTTGTAAAAAACACATCACAATTTAATAGAGTAGATGTTTTTTAGAAGAATGAACAAGGGTAAAATCACAGTAGCAGTGTTGCACCTTTGAACCTGGAGAGGAAACTTGTAAGTCCTAAGAAAGTATTATCCTCTGTGTACCTCCCATTTTGGTGTCCATCTCTATGAAAGTATAAGCACAGGATGAAGATAAAGACCACAGCACCAACAAGCTCTCAAGGCCAGTGGAAACAAGAGAGTCTTGCAGTAAGAAACCCAATACAAAAATGCAGCTCAGAATACCTTGTCTTGCTCTACTTGTCTTCTTTTAAATTTCCTCTAACTGAACCAGTAAATCAGTTTTATCTGGTAAACAGTCATTGCTCTGTTTTCCACAGAAGACTAATCTTGTCTCCAATCAAATAGATATATCCCATTATCTCCTCTAAACTAGAAGGTTATCTTTCTAAATTAATTTTTCTTTGCATGAGAAAGAAGAATGTTGAAAACACTGGATGATTTTGAGAATTCAGACAAAGAACAAAGCATCCAAGGCCTGTAAAACTTTGAATCTCTATCTAGTTTTTAGGCATCAACTAGATCTGGATCCAGAAAGAAGCAGAATAAAATATAGTGCTGAAACCCTACATAATTTTTGAAACTCCAATAAATGAAGAGGGCCCCTTTCCACAGATTTTTGCCTACCAAACTCTTAACCAATGTTTCCATGAAAATAGTCAGGAAAACTCTGAACACAGGTATGCTTCATAGTTCTCAAGAAATGAAGAGTAAACCAGTAAGAACCAGTAAGACAAAGATCAAGTGCATGACTTCAGTCCTCCTACAGACAAGAGTATGTATTTTGTAGAAAACATTAAAAAAAAGTAACTTTCCACATATTTCAGTCATTTAGACCACAAAACATACTGACAACATAGTGCAGCTTAGATTAATAAGATATAGCACCGTTGAAAGTCTTAATATCTAAACACTAATTAAAATCTGGGTGCTGTATTTCATACTGCCGAGCAAGCAGTTCCTGCTAGAAAAACCATTAAGTTTTTACAGCTCACACATTTAAGTATTTTGCAATATTGTGCAACTATATGAGATGCAAAGTAAATTAATTAAAGCTGTATCTTCATGTTGTGTGGGCATCTGTTTGGAAGCCTGACATGCAAGGTGTAGGTGCAGAGTTCTAGAGATTTTATTTTCATGGCACTAGTTCCTGTGGTGCATTCCCTCTTCGACCTCACGAACTCTCTAGGACAGCACTGCAGCTCATGTTCTGACTCTACAATTTTGATTACCCAACTTCGCATACACTCAGTATTTTTTTTAACATTAAAATGTATTCTGGATTAAAATGATCTTTATGGTTGCAAAGTCAATGCCTGGAAGAAAAGCCTGCAGAAAAACAGTTGCTGAAGAAACTTTAAATCCTGCCCATTTTTAATGCAAAGCAGGATGAGAAAGTAGTGATGGGATAACATGGCACTTCCCCTTCAAAATGTCCTCATCAGGAACCTAAGTAAGACTCCAGGGGCAACTGAGATTTGGATACTACCTAACTTTTCCAGCCATTTCTTTGATGGAATTCCTTGCGTGCCCTAAAAAACAGTATCACCTATTATTTATCTGCAGTAAATTAAAGATTTCAAGAGCTGTATCAATGGTGTATATATGAAAGCACTTCACAACCTTTTTAACATCTTTCTGATGTAGAACTATATTGTTTACAGATGGGCAACTTGATTCACATGTTCAAGTAAAAATCCTTACAGCCTGCCCATTTTTTCAAATACCTTTTTACTGAATTTTTTTCCATTGCAACTCCCCTACTAGTTTTGGTAATGAAGCTTATTGTAAGCTCTGAATGCTTTCCAACAATGCTACAAAGACTTAATTTTAGTAAGTTCATTATACAATTCGCTGTCAGCAGCTTCCATTCTACAGTCTTTGTACTTACTGTGAACTCACAAAAAATAATCTCTAAATAAATTCCTATTCAAAATCCAGTGAAAAAGTTATCAGTAATCTCAAATTCCGCAACTTTAAAAAATGCCTGGCAATTTTCACTATCCACATTTATCCATTTGCTTTAAAATCAAAAACAAGTGCACAGCCCTCAAATTTCTATGCATTTTGAGTATTTAAGAAAAATATTTTTCCTAATTTTTTCTCAATTACATTATTTTTCTTCTTCTATAAGTACCTTTAATGAATTTCCTGTTTTTTTTTCCTGTATTTTAATTTAGATGCCTTATTAACACTTCTCCATTCTGTGAAATTTCATAATACCTCAGCTTATTTTCTTCAGCTGAAATCAGTATTTTCCTCATATTATCACATATCTTGACATAACATATGTGTTATTTGGCATTTCTTCCTTTAAAGAAAACAATTTGTGTGTAATATTTTCATCTAGTAAAGTGTAATACCAATTTTTCAGGAGAATGTCTTCTCACATATATAGGTAGATTACACTCATATCTTCCTGCATGTCTACCTCAGAACTACAAATCATGATTCTTAAAGCTCCCTAGGAAGATTTCACTCTCCAGTTCAAGTGAAGGAAAAAACTGCATCTCCCTGAAACAGGTAAAACTTATTTTAATTTAGAAAGGAAGTTCTTTCTTATTCCCAAGAAAGGAACAACAAGTTATTGACTATTTTTATTTGCTCACCAATACAGTAAGGACAACATTGTCCCTTTCTCAAAACAGGTCTCTCACAGGATACTGGTGGGCAAGACTCAGAGTAGCATCTAATCACACCATCCATGCAAATGCAGCTAGTGCAGACATTGGGTTTCCAGGACTCGGCTGTCAGAAAAATATCTCCTTCATCATTTTTGCAATAACTGGGCATGCTCTCATTGCTTGATGAAGAGGGCTGAAGAGGCTCATCTGTAAATATAAACAGATTAAGTTATTTTAACTTTCTGTAGCTAACTTCTTTCGTGTTTTCTCAGCAGAGGGTTAACTCTTGAAGAACACAGTGGGACTGTAACACACTGGCTCACTACTTCAGAAGGACTAAAAGGACAGAGTCCTCTTCAGTCCTTACATGTGATAAGGATCTCATGCTCTAGACTAAGGTTAATGCAGACCTTTACTGACTTTATTCACCCCACCCCCCCAAAAAAAAAAGAAGAAAAAAAAAAAATGAAAAAAGAGAAGGAAGAAAAAAGGACAGCAAAGAGAAAACCAAGTACTATCAGAAGCAGAAATCTGCTCTGAACTGAATGGTATTAGGAATTCACCTTAAATTACAGCGATTACGTTTTAAATCTAAATCTTGAATCCCAGCTTCTGCCATGTCAGTTCAAATCCTTGAATGATGCAAAGTGAAAACCTATTATGCTGCTGTCATCTTCACTAGTGGACTTATATAAGCTAATTATAAGCTGCTGAGAACAAAATTGAACTTGACTGGGCTTCACCTTGATGCCAGTGGGTCTGCTTTAATTCTCATGCCCACACATGGGAGAGGCCTATTTCTGTAATGAAGCTGTATCTTAATAGACATTATAGATCAAGAAACATGACTGCGTGTGCACAGAATATATAAGAAAAGAAGAAGAAAAAAAGGATTTTTAAGTGCAGTCATATCAGGTTCTCAAACTGCCTAAGTTCTGATTCTAAGCTCCTTGCATAGTCAGTGAGGAAAGCTCATACAAGGACACCAAACAGTATTTTGAAGTTAAGCAAATATTCACTGTTACTAATAATGAGGAAAACGGAAGTCAAGAGAACTGGTTGACTTCTTTAGTGAATACATTTTGTCAGAAAAACCCCACCCCCTGTAGAAGACATGGTAAAACCTAACTTTTTTGACTTCCTAAAGTAAAACTTTTAGGTTTTGTTTTTAATGAAACCAAATATTTTCTCAGTAAGTTTACATACAGTTCACAGGTTTGGACTAAATTTCTACTGCAATAAATTCCCCCCCATTTGCTATGTAAAATAGGCATTCATATTCATTTATAATTGCACTTCTTTCCTCAGGGGAAAGCAAATCCTGTTACCTTCCTGAAACTTTGAGGCTGTCTAGGAGGAAGCTGGCACATGCATTGGGCTGGAATGCTTTGATATTACTCAGCTGCCTTCAAGTCACTCTCAAATCATATCAGGTGAAGGTAAAATCACACAGAAGTATTTTTGAGACCAAATCCCAAATAGGCAAGTTAGTAATAAGAAGGTTCATAAACCCCAAGGCATATAGAAGAGAAAAGAAACAAGCCTGTATCTGCCTAGCACTTTGGCTACTTTCGTCCTGCATGTTTCCATAAACAAGCCAGTGCATATTTCATAAACCTTCCAACTAAGGATTTTGGTTCTCATGCAACCCTTACACATTATTAGATTTCCTTAAAAGACGTTCAAACTTCAGGGCCACAATACATAAAAGGTACCTCTTGCACACAGTCAAGTTTTGTCATTTAAATGGAAGACTGTAGGCTCTCACTCCAAACTGCTAAAGAGCAAAGGCACCACAACAACTAACTGTGCACACACTGAAACATTCAATATTCACATCACACGTTCTCAGATCAAGAAAGGACTCTGATGAAAGCTGGTTGTCAATGTATACCTGGGCACTGTGGACAGCAGGAGTCCTGTGTGCGGGTGGGGTTTTGACAAAGAAGAGGTGGACAGACTTCAGTCTCACACAGGACACGTCCACTGTGGCATGTGCATTGTGTGCAAGAATCAATATTCCATGTCTCTCCTTCTACAAAGTATTCCCCACCAGGAGCATGACAGATTGATGGACTGGTGAGATCGGGCTTCTGCACAATTATTTCATCTGGGAAAATCAAAATTGGAAGACAGGCAAAATCAACCATGACTCTAATGATTAAAAAATGTAACCAAGATTAATAACTTCTGTTATTATTGAAAGTATTAGGAATAACAAAACCACTTATATTCTTAATGATGCTCTTTCAACTTTATGTCACCTGCATCTCATGGAAAATGGGAAAAATATAAACACAAAATGATACAATTTTGTGCCAAATGAAAAGCACAGAATCCCCCACCTAAAACCCTAACAACATATAAGCACCTGACACTGGTAGAACTGCTTCATTGCTTAAATAAATAAATATCTGCAGTCCATGAAGTAAAAACTGCACCCAAGGAGATACCACAGTGTGTAGACTTTTATTTCCAGTGACTCTATCTTAATTCCTTAATGAGCCTTAATTCCTTTTCACACAATTAATTACATTACTCTACAGCCCTGGCTAAAAGACTTACCCACTATCTAACTCAGGCAGTTTAGAAAATCGATTTGACCTCCTTCGAGTGAAGAAAGGAACTGAAACTGTTTCCCTTGTTCAGCTTAAGTGTCCTCCAAACACTGGGGTATTAAAAAATGGAGGAACTTTCTTTACCTGTTGGTGTTTTAGAAGGTAAGAGAAACCTGTCCCTTCACTTTGAAAGTGTTTAAGCACTTACCATCAAGAAAAGGTTATGCCACAACCTGCCTCCCCATAGCCTGCTTTGAAGCCCACCCCCACATAAGGGGCAATAACAGATGCCAGCCTGCTGTGCTGGTTGCTTTGGACCTGGCGTGAGTCAACCAGCTTCTTCCATGCACTGGTACAGGGATCAAGATGCCTCACACACCATGTTTTTTTCAGCTACAGGAGCTAGAAGGTTGAAAGCTACATGCTGCAACATGAAGTGTCAGGCTTATAACTCATGTTGTCCTTCAGCCTGAATTCAACCCACCTAACATTAAGACATCTAAGTGCCTACACCAAGAACTGAGCCTACCTCAGGTGTCCTGTGCTATGAATCAAGGGGATGAGAAAGTGACTTCTGGGTAATGACTCTGCATCTCTAAACCTTCTGAAGGTCCCTCTCTCCTACTTATTTATAAAGATGACTAATGTGAACATCATCCTACTCCAACCATCTTGGTTAAGGACAGAACAGTTAACTTGATAGCAGCTTCTCCAGTCATTGAAGCAGCCCAAGGCTCACAAAGTGGATGTGCTTCTCCCCACATCTATAGCACTGCTGTACTTGTCTGGAGAACAGCGTGTGTGTCCTCTGCTCTGTGACATTGGCACGCAGAAGATACATCACTCAGTTATCTGTTTTCATTTCTGGAGACATATTAATAGAACTCAAGGAACCTGATTGTGGCTGATCGTGGTCTATTCACAAAATACTCATGCATCTCTTCTTTCAGGGAATTATTTTATCTTTCACTGATTCACTTCCTCTATGCTTTTCCTAGTGCTTATTATGAACCACACATGTGATTCAACAGCATTTACCTGAAGGGAGTAGCTGGTTTGCTGCCTTGTCACTGTCTTTTATTTCAGCTGCCACAATATATTACATTTTATTCAATGACATCCTAACTCATCACAGCAAAGACACTATTAAATAGTTTCTGGAGATCTTCCCAGTCACCTCTTTTGCATCTAGTTCTCTGCAAAGCCATGGGCCTGTTTTACTACAGCTCATAATCAGAAAAGCTTAACCATAGTATTGTTATACATATGGTATTGCTTACTGCTCCCTCATCAGCACTGAGATTGATTTATCACTGTAACTGAATTGTTACAAACATACCACTGTTGTATTCCTAAAGGAGCAACCAGCCAAACAAATACACTCAATACGCTCTATCCAGGAAGCATGGTTCTGCAAAATAGCAGTAGTTACATGGCCTGCTAAATCTCATAGGAAACCTGGAACATTTCACAAGCATTGTGACCATCCACTTAAACCTCTGAATATATAGAAACAGAGTTATAATGGATGCTGTAGTGGTTAAAGTATATGTTGCTTTGTTTAAAACTAATTAAATATGAAATTGAACATAATAACCTTTTTTCAGTCTGAAAAATTATTTCTGAGAGCTGCCACTTCCCTGCTGGTATGCTAACAGTGCAATTCAAAACTCTGTTTAACAGACTTGCTTATTATTTTGATACCCTTATGCCAGGCACACTTGAGTGATGTGCTCACAGTGTCACAATTCCAAACTGCACTAATCTCTGCTGAAATCCAGGATACTCATTTAACATCAGTGGGGAAACAATACATTGAAATATAAAATCAGAAGTACATTTCTAACAAACAGAAAATGTCAGTGGGGAAACAAAGCCACACTGGGACTAATTTGGCCATATCAATTTATACACTTACATATACAATCACTTTAAAAGTGTGCTGTGCCTGGCCTGATATTGTAAGAGTTTACATCAAGTATAACTTTGCTAACACAGAAGCTGGGTGACTGGTACCTCAAAAGCACGAAAAGATGTCAGACAAATCTGCACAGACACTGGATCTCAAAGGAACAGACATCACTGGGTAAGCAACTGCTCCTCTATGCAGGAGACCAACATTGCTGGTGCTCAGTATCAAACACTGATCTGATCCAGACAAAATGTGAGAAGATAGGTACTGCTGATTTCTTATACTAATCTTTATTCCATGAACTGAACGTTAGACTTATGAATGGATGTACCCACAGTCATTCCCATACACAAAGTAACTAGCCACTGGTGCTTCTGAAAGACCAAAATTAATAATACCCTTATTCAAATGTTCTGATGTGTTCTGTATGTGTATGGTAAATCAGTGCACACAAGTATGCTGATACTGAAGTGAAATTAGGAATGAGTCTTGCAGGCCTAACAACAGAATTGCTGGAACCAGAATGACCATCCTACCTTTTAAATTTTCATTCCTGGCTATTCATCTCCTGCAAGACTGACATGCTACCCTCTCCTCATCCACATGAAGTATACCATTCCCTACAATAATACACAAATCACTGCAAAAAGGTGAGTGGATACTGCAGGCATTGTAACAGTTCTGTGCAGCCCTGAATTCCAGCTAGTGTGAGTGGAAAACATCACTGTCCAGTGACAACAATAACAATATTTCAGTTATTAAGCTGTTCTTATCTCAATCCACAAGTTTTACTTTATTTCCCATTCTCCTCCCCATCGCACTGGGATGTGAGCAAAGAATGGTTCCCCTAGTGTGCAAAACTTCTTCGTGTCTCCACCTCGGCTAAAATTTTCATTAACGTGTGTCGTTACCAAGATGCTAAGCACTAAGATCTCAGCCTCAGGAACCACTACTAAATTACTCACTACTGAAAACAGCTCTGGCTCCATGACAGCCAGTGCCAAAAGCAACACCACAGCTGGCCCTGGAATGCCAGGAACCACAGACACTGTCTGGTCTCTATACTGAGGGGAAGAGAGCGCAGACTAAGAAAAGCTGAAAGGCAGACAGACCTTTTGGAGTCCTGCATCTTTTTGGGGACTGTTTTTCCAGTTACCACACAGCATGAACTGGATTGGAGATCAGCACTTGTCTAAGCAATATAAGGAGATTGGTTACCTTAGGTCCTAGGGAGGATACACTCTTCACTGTCACTTTCAGAAAGAGGATCTGGCTGCTTATTTTGCCCCTAGGATTTCATGTTCTTTACAAAGAATTTAAAACAGTTCATAATTGCTTATATCTTGGCAGTGCTGTTTTACTGTTTTGCTATTCATTGTAGTATGACAAGCCTCTTTGTTCCTACTTGCAACATGACTTCCAATAAAGTCACAGACAGTATCACTGTATTACAAATTAATCTATTTAGCACATAAAATATTGTAGGAATCATTCTGAAGACAGAGAACATTCTACCTACACTGACATCTTTCATAGATGTTGTTCATACCAACAATTATTATTAAAATTGTATTGGAATGCAACATTAACTGTATTTGGCCTTCTCACCTAAAGCAGTAAAACAATCTTTTACTGCTGGTGGCACAGAAGCATTCTCTTAGAGCACACATCCATAGTACCCCATTACTTTCATCTGTTTAAATGTTTACTCCTTTGAGGGGTTGTGAAACACAGAACATGTGACGAATTTTAATAAAATTCCACTTCAAATTAAAAAAGAGAAAATGTAGTCTTTTATTATAATATTTGCTATTATAGATAGCAAAATAGTACGTGAGTATAAATTTGCCATTATAGCTAACATACACTAGAAACCTTTTCTACTTTAAAGATCTCAATGTGTTGAAAATCAACACATTAGGACCCAAAACATACCTATGCTTTAAATATTTAAGTTCTGTTTTGTCCCATCTGAGATCTTAATGAAAGCCACTCGTCATGTCATATTTGGGCATAGAGACCTTCATGTATATGACCTATTACTGAACGATGCATGGGATTATTTCCATGCATTATAAACAGAACACCTGTGAAATGAACCCCAGTTTCAAAGCACGTAGATGAAAGCACGGTACCTGGACACGACGGGCAGCACTGCCCTGGATGTATGGTGGGGTTGCCACAGTTTGGCACGGGGCAGGTGATCAGGGCACACATTTCCCGTCCATTGTGACAGTAGCACTCCCTGCAGCCGTCGTGCCAGTTCTCCTCGTTCTCGTGTCGGCGCCCATCCATTGACAGGCAAGAGCCTGTTTTAACAGGAGGCATAAGAGAAGCAGCTGCCTCTGCACAAAATCAAAGGAAAACGAAGTGTCCTGATAAGCGTGTGTTGCTCAGGAAAAAAATCTTCATGCCTGGGTTGCACTTATTGCATGTATGAAATCAAGGGATTAATAATACTATCATTTACGATTAGAAATAAAGTAGTAACACACATGAAACAATTAAAAGGTATACTAAAGGTGTTGGTAAGATGTAGTAGAATGTATTTCCTTAAAAAATACAATAACTTCCTTCTGTTGCACCTATACTGTTTTTAGTCATACAGTACAGGATAAATAATATTAGAAAAAAGAGAAATGTAATGCAGGGAAACAGCAGAAAGCATGAAGCATATTTAAAATGAAATATTTCAATATTAGTGTATTAGATTATCTATGAGTATCTAATAGCAAGCAGAACATAACAGAATTTACAAGAGCGAAGGATGGTCTTATGAATGACAAAAAATGATGAGCAAGTTTTAAAAGGGTCATGCTAAACACTGGAAGTATTTCACAAAACAGTTCCATATGAGAAATTATTTGTTTACAGTACTATTATAAATGAAACGTTTGGAAAATAACTACTCTGATGATCTTATCCTTCCTTCCTAGCTTTTACTGAGATGAGAAGACCATAGTTTAGACTGCTGCATTATTTGCACTCAGCCAGAACACAGAAGCAGTTGGTCTAGGGAGGATAAAGTCTCATTTGTACCTCATGGGGTATTTAAGTACTTCAGGATTCAGACTTAATATATTCTTTGTTAATCAGCAGAGTGAACTTGGAGCCCAACACTCCCTCACCCGCATCGTTACAATGATGAAGGATTTAAGATCAGTTTGTCAGCAAACTGACTTGTTTTCAGTGGTATGTCAACCATGTTCTGCTGACAGATATATATAAGGTTATTTGTATTAAATTTATTTAATTTTCTGTTTAAAAAAGGATGCAATATGAAAAGTGGCAATGTTAACATTTAATTTTAACATTAAAAGGTTTTTTTGGTGCCTTTTTTTTTTGTTTGTTTGTTTGTTTTAGTTATATGTAGGTCAGCACTTCTTTAGCAGTGGCAGATCTATTAAAGGTGGTCTAAAAACCACAAGCAGATGGTATGAAGTTAGTTTGATGCATGTTATCAGAATAAGAGCCCAACATACAGAAATTACACCGTTTACCATTTTGTGAATTAAAAAGAAAAGCCATGGCATAAGGATGAAATACTTCTTAAAAGTCTTCATCCTATTGCATGACCAGAAATACTATGAAAAAAAATTTACATTCAGTTACTACATTTTTATACTTTAGTATCTAGTTTTTGAACTATGATGAGGGACCAAAATAATTTGGTTTATCTGACATAGCAAAAAACTTAGGAAAAACCCCAACAATGTTTTGGGGGCTCCAGATGCCACCCCTTAAATATCACTAAAATTCTAAAGGAAATGGTGCTTAGCTGTTCCATACGTCTGCTGAGCTTAGGACAAGAAGTAAATTGTTCAATTTGTAGAAAGGGTGACAGAAGTCTTAGAAAATGTATTTTATAATATAACATATTGGTAACCACAGGAAAACATTATTTTAGAGAGCTTTTTTTTTTTTTTTTCCTTTTCAGAGTGGGGATCCTTAATAAATTAAATCTTAGACAAACATCTGTCAAGGATTATCCAGATACACTCTATTATATGCCGGGGCAGAGAAATGGACTCTCTGTTTTTCAGAGGAATATCCCAGCCATGTACTATGGTTCTATTTCCATTAATCCTAGCATAGGCTATTTCTGACAGAAGCAATTTAGAAAGTGAAGCTAATTTACATGCCGGAGCCTTAGCCACCCCTTTCTCTTACTCAGGGCTTTGGACTTAGGGCAAAACGTTAACAAGGCCTCACAGCACCCTCAGAATGTACTGATGATTAATTATTCTTGGACAAGTTGCTAACAAAGTGATGTTGAAGTGATATGCTCATGGTTTAGTATCTTTATGATCACGATAACAATAAATACTGCTTAGAGAGAAATTAAGTAATTTTTGCTAAATATTTGTGCACGTTTTGAAATCCATCCTTGTTAAGCATTAAAAGTGTGCATACATATAATTAGTAACTAAAGAGTTGCATCTGTTTGTGGTCTGGGATGCAATTATTGCACACCTAAGAGAAAACCATGTCTATATACCATCACAGCATCATGACAATCAGAAAAAGTATGTTGACTGTGAACGTGGAGACAAATGACAAGGTAAGTGATAAGAACTGTCTCAATGGAACTCCATTCAGCAGTCACCCTTCCTTATTTAATTTTTAAACCTTTTATTTCTAGTAGAAGTCATATGTTGCAGCTTATGTCAGTGAAATGTCTCTCTACTTCTTGTATCTGTAAGGCACATTTATAAAATGTCATTTTTTTTTTCTAGAAGTCTTAAAAGTTTTTTTTTTTATAAATGTCTGTAGTGTATGATGTCATGTGGAGAAAATATAATTTTGGATCCTTTTGATTTATATGATTGCATGTTTGCCTTCAACTACAGGAGAGTGAATTCAGGAACTTTTATATATATTTTTCCAGTCCCATGTTTCCATAGCTTGTGTTATTAAATTTTATCATTTTTTCAAATGCAAAAGAAATAGCTGCCAAAATAGTTAAGAATGGAGTCATTACACAAAGCAGTGGGAAAATATTAAAACTTAATTGCCTATAGCTAGAAATCAAAACACACAAGCAAGAATCAAGGAAAGAAAGCATGAAAGAGCAGTTAGGATCAGAGAAAATGTGAGCACAAAGGGCAAGTTATTAAATGCAACACACAGAGATGAATGATGAAGCAAGTCTGATACCCAAACTAACACACACACACAGAGAAAACCAGAAAAAAACTTTAAAAAGAGATGCATTAAAAGCAGCACAAAACTGAAGCTGACAACTTATGAAATCTTATTTCAGTCTCCACTTTGAACTTGGCAGTCAAAAGTCTGGGATGTGGCACATGAAACTTTTAGCTTAAGAATACCTAGTCCTTTTTCCTGGGTAAGCATTCTCTCGACTCACTGTTCCTCGAGACCACCTGAAAAGTGTCCAAGAAACAGGACTCTGATTTTAGGTGGTGTACAGGGCATCTATCAAATCCAAAACTTGAGTTTGTAAAGAAAACATGTTAGTGAAGAAGCTAAGATGAACAACGCTACTAAAAAAAAAGTCCTGACTAGCTTATGGTTACTTACTAAAAGGCCTGATATGATTGTTTATTAATGATAACAAACTGATTTTTGGGATTTCAAAGTGAGAGATGAAAGTAGAGCTGAGGCTTTCTGTTGAAGCCAAGATCAACAAAGATAATAACAAACACCTGAAAAACAATCCAGTCCTTTGAGCAAAGTTGAACTTACTCCCCCACCAGTTACCATATTTCAGTTCTTACGTACTCTGTGCAGTATTCCTTTTCTTTTGCTCTAGCTTCCAATTGTTTTTAAAACAAGTTGTAATTGGAGATGTCAATGCACTCTCACCTACCTCTGCACTTGCAGATAACACAGCCGTGGCTGTTCTGCTGGAAACCCATGGGACAGATTTTACCACAAGGCAGTTCCGGGCATTTCTTACACCGACAGATTTCACAGCCATGCTTGTTCTTCCTAGATGACCAAAATAATTTGTAAAAGGTCAGCAGGTCACTTTAAATATCTACATGTCATGATCTTTAAAGCAAAGGCATTCCCTAAAGAAATGACTGATCAAGTAAACTAGTGTTAACGGTTAACCCTCAGGTTCAGTGGGTCTCTGGGATGTACAGGTCTCCATCCCTGGCATGTGCTCCCTTCACGTGACCGTTAAAATCTCTGCATTTGGTACTTTCAAGCCATAGCACATAATGTAGACGTATGTGTTTGTGACTACTATTAATCAATTATTTTTCAAAATGAAAAAGTATAAAGAAAACTTCTATGACTGAAGTTGAAGGGGAAGGTAGGAATCTGTTATGATTACTGTGCTTTTATAACACAAGTTACTGTTAACTTTTCTTCTCCAACAGGTGAAGTACAGTGAATTTCCTCTCTTGCATATTAAAACTACAGAGACATTTCTGAAAACATTAAATAAGTAGACACAAAGCTTACTTGAACACCAGCAAGTGAAATACCAATAATCCATACAAAAAGTAGCAGACACATAGTAACATATTTTGAAGCAGTGAAAACCAGAGAACTTTTCAGCAAACAGACTGCAGAGAATCAAGAACACAAATGCTTCTAAAGCTTCCAGGTGAAGCTAGGCAGAAGTCTAAGCACCACCTGACAGTATCTCTTCACAGTGCCATGAACATGCTGCTTTTGTGAATCCTGTAGAATATTTGCTTGTCTTTTTTCGGGAAGACAGAGAATACCATTCAAATTTTAGACACAAGTGTACAATTTCCCTTCATATACAGATAGAAAAGTTTTCTGTGCCTTCCCAAGACACACGGAAGGCGGAAAGTTAATGAAGTACTGAAGAAGTTCAAGACAAAGAGGGGAAAAAAACTCAATAAATGATTTTTATAAGTCTGCTGATAAACATATCGCTTTAATAAGGTTTTAGTTAAAAGGCTGAGGAAAACAAATTGTCATGTAGTAGGATGGCAAACGGAAGATTTTCTGTCCTCCTATCCATCTATTTTTTTTCCTCCTTAATCTCTGTAAGAACAACACTTTTAATACCAAAAGAAATAATTCTTTCCATTAATGTGTAGAGCTTTCAAACTGTGAACACTATTGAGCTATGTGAACACTGTTTTTCAGACAATTGTGAAAAGGTTTTGGTTTCTCTAAGATGCACAAACTCAAGACCTTCCTAATGTAACCCTTGATAGTCTTAAAAGAAAAAAAAACAAACCAAAACCAAAAACATGATTACTCCTTAACTTTTCGCTCTTTAATATACTGTTCTTTTAACACTTGCTTCTTCAGCCTCCTTTTTGTGAGCAAAGTTTTACATTAAAGTAGAGATTCGTCTAAACCATTACATCCCATGCTTTTGATGGTCATAACATGCTTGGTAGTCACATCAAGCTTGCTATTTTAGAAAATAAATTGGCATGGTAGCAGTAAAGAACTGAACAAATGTACTACAGAACTGCCAATCTAAATGATTTTAGCACCAATGTAAGGCTCGAAGTGAAATGATCTTAAAGTAGTTCATACCACAGTTTTAGGCCTTTATACTACAAACTGTTATGTACATAGTTATCTTCAAGAAGGAAGTGTTAAAAGTGGAGGAGCAGGTGATCCCCATGTCCCAAAAGATGAACCAGCAGGGAAGAAGGCTGGCCTGGTGGAACAGGGAGCTTTGTCTGGAACTCAGGAACAAAAGGAGAGTTTATGGCCTTTGGAAGGGTGGTCAGGCCACTCCATGAGGACTACAAAGATGTAGTGAAGCTATGCAGGGAGAAAATTAGGAGGGCCAAAGCCAAACTAGAACTCAGCCTGGTTACTGCTGTTATAGGCAACACAAAATGTTTCTCTAAGTACATTAATAACAAAAGGAGAACTAGGGAAAATCTCCATCCTTTACTGGATGCAAGGAGAAACACAGGGACCGAGGCTAAGGAGAAGGCTGAGGTACTTAATGCCTTCTTTGCCTCAGTCTTTAGTAGTAGGACTAGTTGTTCCCTGGGTACCCAGCCCCCCAGGCTGTAAGACAGGGATGGGGAGCAGAATGAGACCTCCATAATCAAAGAAGAAATGGTGTGCGACCTGCTGCATCACTTATACACAAGTCTATGGGGCCAGACGGGTTACACCCAAGAGTACTGAAGGAGTTGGGAGATGTGCTCACCAAGCCATTTTCAATTATTTATCTGCAGTCCTGGCTAACTGGGGAGATCCCAGTTGATTGGAGGTTAGCAAATGTAACACCTATCTACAAGAAGGGCAGAAGGAGGGTCTGGGGAACTATAGACCTGTCAGTCTGACCTCAGTGCCAGGGAAAGTTATGGAGCAAATCACTTTGAGTGCCATTACACACCATATAGAGGACAACCAGGTGATCAGGCCCATTCAGCATGGGTTCACGAAAGGAACGTTATGCTTGACGAACCTGATCTCCTTAAAAGTCGTGTAGTAGTCGTGTAGTCTCTACAACTACCTGAAAGGAGCAACAGGGGAGGTTTAGAGTGGATATTACAAGAAATTTCTTCCCTGAAAAGGTTCTGAAGCATTGGAATAGGCTGCCCAGGGAATTCAGTCACCACCCCTGGAGGTATTTAAAAGGCATGTGAGTGTGGTGCTTAGGGACATGGTTTAGTGGTGGACTTAGCAGTGCTGGATTAGCAGTTGGACTCCATGTTCTTAAAGGTCTTTTTCCAATCTAAATGATTCTATCATTCTACGTATTCAAGGCAAACGTATTCTTCTTTCTACATTTTTCTTCCTGTGGCTCTCTACTGCAGCATATCTGTGCCATTACTGTTCCATGGGATATGAATCTGCTTTTGGGTTTTTGCTGTCATGACACCTCCTGTTCAGCCATGCACAGTGTAGGAGCTGGATGTGCAATCAGAGCGAGGTCAACCAGCACGTTCAGTTATGTGGAATGCTACTATACCTAAGAATAGCATGAAGATTAAAGGAAGGTATAAGGACGGTGTTCTCTTTTTTCCAACTTCTGCAGCACAACCAGAGAAAATATCAACTGCTTACTGGCATCATCTGTGAGCAGATATGACTAAATTTGGGAGAACGTCACTATGTTTCTATGTTTTCTAAAATCTTGGCTACCTCTTTGGTCATTCAGGTTCTATCATATTTGGATTTCTCAAAACTTTATTAAAACTGTGTACTAAGAGAAGGACATGCTACACTACAGATTACTGTTGTAACAACTTGCAGCATTTAACAAGTGTCAAACAGAACTCTGAAATGAACCAGAAATTAAAGGAGCATTAGTATCAAATGCTAAGTTACAACATTAGTAAAGTCATTATAAATCCTAAGAAAACAAATACATCGTATGGACCCACCAAAAATAAAAAGTATTGTTAAGACATATATAGGAGCCATCAGACTGATTATTAACACATTTCTGTGTGGCAAAAAAGCTGTCCAGTTTTCGTCACCTGTTCCACAAAGGAATAAATATTGAAAATATTTCCTTTTATGGAGAAAGAACTCCAGCAACAATATAGGTGTTGAACACATTTACAAAAATTTAGATAAGAGTACTGTTCTTCATTAATTCTGTAAAGTAGCTATCAGAAATGTCTCACTAAAACTATGATGTCATATCAACATCAAAAAAAGCTTGAAATACTACAAAATTTATTTGAATAAAACAAATTTGCTATAAAATGAAAGGATATCACCGTGGAACATGCAAACAGAATTTCAAAGGCCTACACGCAAGAGATGCTACTTGTAAGCAGCTTTTTCATCTTGTTCATCAAATATTCTTCAAAAGAATTTAAGCACTGCTTTGCTTTTACAATCTGCAGCTGTTTTTTTAGTTGCTGTTTCTTATTACGTTAAGCAAAATCCATTTTGAAGAATAATTTAATATCATCAAGTAACGATGTTTCTGTTTTCCTGCATTTTCCCCTGCTTTGCAACAAGTAATCACTAGTCCATATGCCTGGATTTTGCATATTTTCAATACGTACACGGGTTATAGTAAATATACTTTCAGAATGGGAATACGTACAAGTATCCAAAGGGACAGTACTTGTCACATACAATGGGTTTGCACTTCTTAGGCCGGGGTCGGCACTGACAGATCTCACAGTTGTGGGCGTCAGTCTGGAAGCCGAAGGAACAGTCTAAGGAACAGCCCGAAATGAGGCCGGTGCAGAGCTCCTCCCCTGCGAAGGACACATGCAGGTTATTACCATGTGCAAACTGTTCAAACCAGACAAACACATCTTTAACAGACCAATTCTGCTGTTCCCTTTCACTTCGTTACTTTTAAAATACTCGTAAGCCTTACCTTTGGACTGTCCTAATTTTAAAAGATTTGTCAGAATTCTGCAGTAATGACCCAAACTGTATGAGCAGAATCTACAGGCTGTCTTCACTTCCAGTCAAAAACCTGGGGAGTACTAGAGTACCATCTGGTACCCTAAACTAACATGATTTTATGCACAGCCAAAGGACTCCAATATCCATGACTGTTGATCCTCAGTAAAACATTTAAAATAACATGTACTTTCAACACATTATATGGGTTTAATAGGTTTCTGTTCTATATAGAGCATCTTTATATCTCTTCTACCTATTTTAAGTAGAACTGAAAGGCTTGGATGTATTAAAAACTTTATTCTTTATGCGGTTTGCAGTCAATTGATGATTAAGGCCTGCTTTTTAAAAATAGAACTGTAATACCCCAAGATGTGAGATCTAAGCTTAGAGATGCTAGACTATACAACCCATCTCTTGAAGTCTGTTAAATGTTCTAGCAGCCTCTTGTGGCATAAAGATGCTGGATTGCTGGTATCTCCATTTCTCCAGTACAGAGATAAATAATGGTCATTACAGTCACTCTTAATAGAATTTATTATTTTTGAGAACAATCAGTTTGTTTTTCTTCTTCTTGTACAAAGAAGTGCCAGAAAGACCACTCTCAAGATACTCTGGGATATAAGTTCATTGATTAGTCTCAGAGGTAAGAAGAAACAGAAAATGATGATTACACAAGGGATGCAAATCACAGGGGAAAAAAAAGAAAGGCCATTATTTACAATAGCCAAAGTGAAAACAAAACAGAAAAAGACAGAATATATAATGGAGATTCTTCAACAGAAGAGTATGATGGGTGATACCCAAAGTGCTGGCTTTCAGAGTGATTTTTAAAGAACAGCTGATCTCCAGTTGAAGCATCCACACCACTACAAAGTCCTGGTTATACAGAGGGCAGTTGAAGAGGGCTCCTCCAGATACACTCCTCATTCAAGCTCTGAAGCCCACTTTCCTTTAGGTGTATGAACATTTGGGGACAGGGTTTTTACAAAGAAGATATTGGCACTTTGACTCATTCTGTTCCTTACACTAATTCTGTGGGTCTGAAATTTGAAGACAATCTTTGTATTTCTAACATTGTAATATGCTGAAGGCAGACCACAGAAGGAATCAGTGCCTTATTTAAATGCTTTCTCTTTTGTTTTTGTAATGTTGCATTTAAGACTTCAAAATACAGACTTACCCAGATGTGGCTAAGCTCAGTATTTTGTTATTTATACCACGAGGTTAATGCACATTTGGTAAAGAAGGCATGTTTCTTAGTACCTCTGAGTGGGACTGAAGCCTCAGAGAAAACTGGCAAATTCACTGTCTGCTTCTGTGGTGGAATCTGGGCATACAATGCAACGCTAAGGGCCTTAGCATCCCAAACAACAGTTCTCAGTTTAAGAAGAATGAATATCATCAGGTTCATGGCTCCCACCTCTACATATATATGTAAATTTGGTGTCTGAAGCAAAAAAGGTGCAAACTTTTTTGTTACTCAGAATACAGAAAAAGAAATGTCTGATCCTTTCATAACCTCCAGAGGTTCTCTTGGTCAGCAGAGTACCAATGCCACAAGATTCAAGCATTTACTCTCTTTACCATTTGCACAGGAATGGTAACCCTTATCTCAGGTTCTTGCTCAGAGAGAAATATATCTACAAAGATCTTCATTAAGTCTTCCAAGTTTTTGAAGGATAGAGTTCAGGCTGATCTAGCAAAAATACTACATCTTTTTAATATGTAGCCACTAATGTTGATTTAAGAACACTACAATTAGTACAGTTTGGGTTGGAAGGAACCTTAGATATCATCTGGTTCCAACCCCCCTGCCATGGGCAGGGACACCACCCACAAGACCAGGTTGTGCAAGGCCCCATCCAACCTGGCCTTGAACACCTCCAGTGATGGAACATCCACAACTTAATGCAGATGAAACTGATACTCTTCTCTGGTAAAAAGTGATGTATGTGTAACCCAAAGAAAACGACTTTCCTTGAAGCAAGTTAAAAAAATGAGAATGTCTTTAATTTATGAGCTTTCACACTAGGATAGTTGTACACAATTATTCCCTGACAGCATATAGTCATAATAAAATTAACTGAACTTTTCATTATGTGTGACTTCATAATGTAGCCATTATTTTTAGAGTAAGACTTGAACTTTATAAAGAATGTACAGAAAAGCACATCTATGCTGGCATATCTCCAAAAAGAATCAGCTATGACCTTTGATATGATGTTAAATTACGATATCTCCTGCAGATGCTCAGAACTGATCAGTGAATAAGCCTGGAACTGTACAGGTTGGATCAATTAGAAGCATTAATTTTCTGAAGCACAATTTGTCAAAGAGATGAAGTATTAAGGTAGCTGTCCATAAACATCAGGCTCATGGAAGACAGGTCAAGGAACAAGAAGGTACAAATGCAAAGGCATGGCAGAAATGAATAGGCATCTATCTTAAAGTGAAAGGAAGAGCTGGAAATATAAAATGAAAAATCTAAACAAAAGCAGAAACAATAAGAACTTTTTTTTTTTTTCAGTTGGCATATTTCTTTGTCTCCAGATTATGTACTAAGAACTATCAAAGTGCAACACTCAGGTTTGAGTATGAAGTTACAGAAGATGGCAAAATAATGATTCCTCAGCATCCCACAGCCAAGTATGTTTTTGTTTTCAATCTTCTGCTTTGATTTGATTTACTGAAACTGCTTTTCAGAGATGCAAAACAAGTTTGTTCTGTGTAAAGTTAATCTACTTTATTAAATGGGTCAAGGTATCCAGGACAGTGCTGTTCAAGCAGGAAGACTGTTTCATTCCAAGCACCTTATGATGTTAAATATACTTAAAATTCAGTTAGCTGACACACTAATGAGACTATCCAGTCTCAAGGCAGTATCTTCCATGCTTAATCCTTTACATAGTGAGTTATGCTCAAAAGAATTTTTACTTTGTAAGTGGCCAAGAAAGGAAAGCTTTTCAGAACCTTGAGATGGATGACTGACCAACCATCACTGCCTCTTGGGAACACACACGGAAGAGGATACAAATTATCTTCAAAATTCTGGCTATGTCAAACATACAGGGAATGTTTGCCTAAGTCAGCAGAGGACACTGTTCACATCTGAACTTACTAGTGTTATGTCAATGCTATATGAGGACATCAGAATAATCCCCACCAGTCTCTGCAGACAGTCCTTCTAGTAAGATGCTAAAAATGATGCCTTCTGAGAAGACGGTTGTTACTGAAATTAGAGTGTTATCTGACTTAAATCTTTGGTGGTATGACATTACAAGCTGTGGAAATAGATTTTAAATAATTTTTGAAAATAATTATCTATAAAGAAAATTAGTACAGTGAATATCAGTGAATTCTGGTCCACTTTCTGACTTCACATCTAACCATCTAAATTACTCTCACTGAAACATTATTAAAAACATGACAATAACAGGCAGTCCATCTGGTACACATACACAGTTTGTCTGTGGCATAGGTCTGTTGAAAACCCTAGTCTAGCATTTTAAACCAGGTATTTTTTTAAGAAAACACAGAGAACCATCGATTTTACAAAACAGAGTGTAGCCCTCAAAGAAAAGAAAAAAAAAAAAAAGATAAAAAGATGGCAAACCTAAAGACTTAAATGTGAGACAAATTCAGTGTTTCCAGTTGTTGCCCTGACAATATTTCTGAAGCCTTAGCTATAGCTTTAAATTAATTATTAATAAAACAATGATAATTTCATTGTGAAAGGCTAAGAAAAAACAATTCTCTGCTAAAGATTTGCTTTTCAGTGGCAAATACTAAAGAATAAAGTGAACTAGCTCATGAAAGTCAACTGCAATGAAGTGAGGAAATTTATTATGGCAAAGTATTAGGAGGTTACTCATTTGGGGGCTTTTCCCACCTCTGCTTAGATACATTTCATCAGGAACCTAAATCTCAAATCATGGAACATATTTGCAGAGAAAAGATCCAGCCCTAACTGGGCTAATGACTGCTTCAAAAGCGTATCGGGGATAATCAGACAGTCTGAAAGGAAAGGAAACATTTTAAAAGCTAATGCAGAATGAAAACTGCCTTTCCGAGTTTGAGAGAACTGCATTATGCAGCTGCATGTCCCTGCAAGTCTAATAGAATGGGATCAAGCTTCTGATCACTCAGTATAAGCCATCTTTATTTCTGTGGCTGATTAGATATAATGGCAGCACCTAGGGAACTAAATTAATGTTTGCTTAGGACGTAGAAGACTAAAACAGAAACAAAATGATGAATAGGAAACAAATTAAAGGCAAGAAATCTCTCACCCTGCTGCTTAGGGAAATATCTGGCTGAGGAGTAGAATTCTTGTATGTGAGCAGTAGAAATATGTTCATTAATTTTTCTTATGAAACACAAAATATCAATAAGGTAATTTCAATACAGAAAGCACTCCTTCTACACAAAGTAACAGGAGGGCTTAGAGGGATAAAATAATAATAGTAGGGTCAAATGTAATATTGAAAATGTATAACGTCATGCTGTCCATAGGGAATAATCAAGAATTTGTGCTACTGGTTTAGAGTTCAGGTGCAGGATATTGTTTGATCTCAGAACGATACTGGACTGGTAAGACTTTAGAAAAGATGAATGTACTCCTGAGTGTCTCAGACTAATATAACTGTCTTTTTACCACAAATATATAGCTTTTTAATGTGAGGATAGACATTAGCTGAAATCCCCTATCAAATTCTGGTAGAATTTAAACTGGCTTAAGTACAGCAGAAGGCCAGGACAATAATCATGGAAAGATTGTTAGTACTCAACCAATGAAATTATTAAAATATCCTCCTGCTAGGAACAAACGCTCACTTGAGGACAA